ATTACCAAAGAAACAATCACCCAAGCCCAACTTTGGCAAACTATGAGTCACCATTAGTCAGCAGAAACCTCATTTACAGAGGGCAACTCACTTCAACAGGAATTTAATGAACATCTATTCTGTACCCAGCATGTGCAGGATGAAGAAATGCAAGAAAATTATCTAGTATGAGACATCCTCTAGGGAATTTATAATCTGGCTGACCAGCTAAGATATGAAATCATAGAGAACTCAATCTGGTAGGGAAATATGTGGCACAAACAATAGGGATTATGAGAGGGCATATGTAGTTGATGAGACCATCAGAAGAAGTTTTACTCTAGTTGTAGTGGTGTAGCCTTACCAGGTTAAAAGCTTCAAGATCAGAGAACTGGTGAATGTAAAACTAATTTGCTCTGTAAATTTGCACCCAAAGCACAATAAAATTTAAAAAAGAAAAAAAAAAAAAAAAAAGAACTTAGACAAGCTCTCCATTAATGGCCCAACTGATGGACATGTTCTTAAAATGCACTTGCAAATAGGATGAAGAGCCATGACAACTACTATTCTAAATAAGTGGAGGAAAATCTTGAGCAGTGTGGAAGCTTTGTTCAGCAGTTACATATGTTTACAGATCCTGCTGAAATCAACCAGCTATGAAATAATAGATAGTAAGAGAGAGTTTCCTCGCCTTGACTGTTTTCATCTAAACTGAAATCTAAATCTAATTTTTTCTCGACTTGTAGAGTGCCTCCTGGGAGAAGTTGTAGTAATTCATTGATTCTGTATAGGATGAATAAGCATCCTTCCAAACCCATCAGGAATGTGAGGTGTTCCCAACTTTTGGGACAAGAGAGTTTTTACAGATCATAATAAATCAATAATTCATAGACACAAGGCCAGATACAGAATACCCTTATTTAAGATGAAAAGCAAATTGTGATCTTTAATCAATAAAGAGTTAACAAATTGGCAGTGCAAACAAGATGAGAGAATTTTATCTCATCCTCAGTTATGAACTGAACAGGCAGGCACACAGGGCTGTGCCTTGTGGTTAAAAATTGCTCCCAGGACTGTGTACTTGAGAACTATTGAGTCAGAAGGCAGTGAAGAACAACTTGCCAAGGGATTTGCAATGCAGAAAAGATAAGTGGGTGGACCGTAAAAGGGCACTCAACACAAATGTCAATTAATGTATTATTCTTCTACAAACTTCCTTTAGCATGTATTTTGATGGCTTTGAAGCCTCTGTCCTTCTCATGGGAATAAGAATGAGAACTCTTGTTTTAGCTTCTGATTAAACGATGTTCAGAAGACCTCACGACATAGAGTAAACCTTTCACATTCAAACAAGAGGGGTTGGCCCAGTCCAGTTAGCTCAACTCCTTTGAAATCTTACAAGGAAGACTCTCTTCCTATTCCTGCTACCAATTAACTCTAAAACATTGCTATTGGAGTGTAACTCCTCATTTCCAATTAACTCCAATGAGCACTGCACACAGCAGATATACTTGTGAGTCATGGTCAGGTTTTGAGTGCTACAACATTCTGACTTAGGTAACATTACACTCAGTGTATAGATGAGGACTCTGACACTGAGAAAATACAATTATGTGCCCAAGGTTGTAAGGAAAAAAAAAAAAAAAGTTCAAGAACAGAGAAATGTGAGCTCAAGTGCTACCCTGGCTCTCCACTTCCTGCCATGTGACTCAACCTCCCTAAGTGCCAGGTTTCTCATCTTTAAAGTCATGGTAATCATAGGGTTGTGAAGAGGATTAAGGGGGATAATTCCTTGGCACCATGCCTGGCACCTATGATGGTGATGATGTTGTTGACTGGAATGGAAGGTTGGGAAGTAGTTCTGGTTTAGACTGAAAGACAAGTTCAGCTGGGGATGGGTTTAGTTACCGATGAAGTCTCCATACAGCTTCAAGATTCAAATTCAGGAGTCGTGGGCTCAGAAGTAAGAATAGAGTCACAAGACAAGATGAGCCCTTTGTGGGAAGACAGAACAAGAAGGATAGAGAGAGGAAGACCCCTGTAAACATGTATGTCCAAGACTTTGGTAGCATGGATCTGATTGCTCTTACCTCCCTTAGCATGATGTTGAAGCTAGAGCCTTGGCTTCACCCTCTATGCAAGAAGTCATTTTTGCCCCTCTGTAGTTTCATTCTGTTCCACTGTGACAATCTATCCACCATTCCTATTCACAAGCCATTACGAATAAGGAGTGAGAATGCATCAGTATAAGTCCATCATCACTCACAGCTTAGGCTCCACTGACAGTCAAGCTTGGTCCCCAAAGCATAGCATTCAGCCACTAGTACAGTGCTGTGCTGAAGTTGGAAATTACCAGAATGGGCAAATAATTCATGAAATTTTTTTCATTCATAGCCATCAGCAATAGTGCAATAGATCTGGCCTGTATTGTTAATGGCTATATAATGATAAAAATGAATAATGCACAATTCCCACCCTCAGGAAGACAGACTTATAAACAAATAATGACAAATCACATGATCTGGTCTCATAGAGAACCTCAAAGTGTATGGGACCAATTACCTGTGCTAGGGTGGAAAAGTGCCCATCAAGCCATGTTAGCAGGCATTGACACTATCACTGACACCATCACTTCAAAAGTAGCCATTTTGAAACTCATAAGTCAGGGTGAGGAATGGGAGGAGGTTTGCTCCCTGCTCTCACTACCATCCCTTTTGTTATTGTGAGTGTCATCCACCCTTCTGACTGTACCTTTACCATAAATATGCCCATGTAATACTCCTGAATCCCTCTCTTGCCTCACTCCTGTCTTGTGTTCCTTCAGTGGCTCTTTTCCAACCTTCACTCTCATTTCCAGGCTGTCCTGTGTCACCTCTACCTACAATACACTTGTCAGCTCTGCCCATTCCCTGCCCTAGTTCTTTGGCCCTGCCCAGACCTGCCACTCGAGACTTCATGGTTCCCTTTTGTGCTTCTCTCCATCCACTCCCGTGCCACATGCAGGGGTGTGTCCTCACCTGGAGAGGCCTTGTGCCAAAGCGTGATGTAAAAAGACTAATGGTGATGATTGAACAACATGATGAACATAATTAATGTCACTCAATTGCACATGTAAAAAATGCTAAATGGGAAATGCTTTGTTACATACATATTTACCACAATAAAAATAATCTCAGCTGAAAACTATAAGCCATTAAATATTTAGTATTAATCAATATTTAAACTAAAAACTGTAAACTTTTAAAGCCAAACCAAATGACAGTAATATGTGTGAATAACTCTTAGAAATATCCACGCTTTTTTGACTCAGTCATTTTATCTCTTATAATACATATGCAGGAAATCAAGATTTATCTAAAAAGATATTCATTAGAACATTATTTACAACAGGGGGAATAAAAACTTGGAAACCAACTAAAAACAACTGCCAGTACAAACCTTGCTTTGGTGAATATTTGCTAACAATGAGAAAATGCTTAGGAGGTACCTAAAACAAAACAAAACCCATTGCCATCAAGTCGATTATGACTTATAGTGACCCTACAGGACAGAATAGAACTGCCCCATAGGATTTCCACGGCTATAAATCTTTTTGGAAGCAGACTACCTCAGCTTTCTCTCATGGAGTGGGTGGTGGGTTCGAACTGCTGACCCTTTGGTTATCAACCAAATGCCTTACCCACTGTGTCACCAGAACTCCCTTAGCATGTACAGTGAAAGGAAAATACTAAAATTTTGAACTATATGCAAAATACTCAGAGGCAGACTCAGAATTAACAGCACAAGCTCAGCATTGACACCAGGATTTGAGTGAGAGCTCTGCCACTTACTAGCTGTGTGATCTTGGTCAAGGTAACAAACTCTTCTTAGCTTCTGATCTTCATTTTTAAAAAGGGAATGATAACAGCAGCTACTGTGAAGTTATCCTGAAGATGTTGTTGTTGTTATGTGTCAGAGAATCAATTCCAACTCATAGCAACTCCATGTGTCAGAGTAGAACTGTCCCACGGAGTTTTCTTGGCTTTAATCTTTACAGGAACAGATTGCCCTTCCCATGGAGCCTCTGGGTGGATTCAAACTGACAACCTTTAGGTTAGCAGCCACGCTGCTTAACTGTTGCACCACTAGGGTTCCTTGTCTCGAGGGTAACATATATGAAACATTAACATCATCCCTGGCTAGTAAAAACAACTGTTGTTGTTGAAATGGGTGGGTCATTACGGCTGGACTTGAGGAGACAGGGATCTCTAGGGCATTTGGTGGTGGGATGAGCTGGGGGATGTTGCTGTATTTAAAAGAGCACAGAATGAAGGCAGTAAAGCAGAGGACAAAGAAAAGAAGTTGGCTGGCAAATGAAAGGGATAACTCCTCAGGCATAAAGACAAATTTCTATCTCCTTTAAAGATTTTCACTATCAGGTATTGACTCTTCACTTTTCTCTGCTTTTGTTACACTGTTCCTTCCCTTCCTGTATTGGCCTGTGATGCTTTTCTTGAGTGGTTTCCAAGATGTTATACCCATGGAAGGGGGAATAAAAGCCACAGAATTCTCTGTCTGAGAATCTGATGGTCTCAGCCAATGATCCTGGCCATAGAAAGGAATAGACTTCCATCTATTTTGTTTGAAGATGGAGATTTTTCAGCCAGGAGTCAGAAGTGAAACTGTCAGGCAGCTGAGTCTTGCCAAAGGAGGCATGCCTGCCTCGCACTGCTGGAGCAGGCAGGCGAACCAAAGACTTGTTGGACTTTCCATTGGCCTTGTCTAAGCAACGAGAATCCTAACCTTTGTATGGAGTCTCTCCTGCATGCCTCAGCGAAAGGAGCATAGAAAGATGAGGAGGGAGGTTGGAAATGTCACCAACCTGGGTCCCCAGACAACTCCTGCCTGGTCTTGCAGATGCCAATGGTTTTCCTAGGGAATGACTTCCTTGACCCAGGGCCCAAGTCCAGGAAGCCACAGGAACAGGTGGCTTCTGAGTGTACAGCTCACAGGAACAGGTTTTTCTTCTTCCCTTTCTGTAGTGATGAGGTGCTTGGGGATCCCTACCCGTGTGATCACCAACTTCGACTCTGGTCATGACACAGATGGAAACCTGATCATAGATGAGTATTACGACAACACCGGCAGGATTCTGAGGAATAATAAGAAGGATACTGTCTGGTGAGGGACACCCTCTAAATCTATTTCTAGGGACTCAAATCAGAGCCAAACCCCACTAGAGGAATTAGGGTGGACCTGTGTCCATGAGCCTGCTGCTGTACCCATCTCCTATCCCCAGCTCCTGAGAGTCCCAGTGCCTAGTGTCTCCAACACTGAGGCTAAAGGACATCTGAACAAAAAACCAATAGCTTGGGGTTTAGAGGCTTTATATCCTAAATACGTTCTGCCCTAGGTAGAAGTTTTCTTCTATATCACCTCCTTCATTTAATTCTCAGCCTGTGGCTCTGACCTCAAGAGACCTGAAGTCTTACCTCCAGACCCAAAGACCATGAATCTCTCTGAGACACAGTAACACACACAAGAAAAGAGCCACAGGACTTTTTGAGAGAAAGTAAAATATTTTAAATTTTGATTGACTCTGGAATCCTTCATTCTCTATTCACATTCAGAGTCAGCAGAGAAAATCTCTTTTCTGGGAGGTAAATTGAAGCTCTCAGAAAGAAGTCCCATCACTGTTCAACGACTGAGATTTGAGGCCCTGTTGTATCCTAAGTCTGTCTGTTTTTCTATCATATCATTCATGTGCTCATCTATCCTCTGCATTGCTCTAAACAAAAGGCAAGCAGTAAAGCCTCTCTCGTACCTTCATTTGACACTGACTGTTCTGGTTTCTGTCAGGAATTTTCACGTCTGGAACGAGTGCTGGATGGCCAGAAAGGACCTTCCTCCTGGATATGGAGGCTGGCAGGTGCTGGACGCCACACCTCAGGAGACAAGCAATGGTAAGTCTCCAGAAGGAAAGCAGAACCCATTCCTATAGACACTGTCCCTATCCCTGCCTGGCCCTGCAATCTCATTGAGGCTCTTCTGTTCTCCTCAGGTCTCTATTGCTGTGGCCCTGCCTCCGTCAGAGCCATCAAAGAGGGGGAAGTGGAGCTGAACTATGACACGCCCTTTGTTTTTTCCATGGTGAATGCTGACTGTATGTCCTGGCTTGTCTACGGAGGGAAGGAGCAGAAACTTCACCGGGACACAAGATCTGTCGGCAATTTTATCAGCACTAAGAGCATCCAGGGTGATGAGCGGGATGATATTACAGAAAACTACAAGTATGAAGAAGGTACAACCAAGCCTGTGGGCACAGCCAGCTAGGCAGGCCTCTGTGGAACCAGAGGGCTTCCATGGGGCAGGAACACACCTTTAAGTTCCCAGCTAGGGTGTCCCCTCTGCTCACTACCTCATGTCCATCACCACTCCACATCCCAGGGGCCAGCATATCCCTCTTGACCTCTCCCACAAGATGCTCACATTGATTACAAGACCATTGAGAGGCATCCACCAGCAGTATACTAATTTCTCACCCCTGCCTCCCAGGAAAATCAGTCTCCTGCTGAAGATGGCAAGAGATTTAGTGAGCTCTCTCCTATTAATGAATTTAATTACTTTATTGTATTTTTTTAAAAAAAATGTGTTGTATCGAGTGTTTGGAGAACAGGCCAGACCTCCAGCCAGCACCGAGGTTGATGTAAGACTAAAATGTTCACCTCTACCCTCACCCCAGGAGCTCTGGTAGCGTAGTGCCTAAGGCACTTGACTGCTAACCAGAAGGCTGGCGGTTCAAACCCACCAGCCACTCCTCGGAAGGAAGGTTGGGCAATCTACTTCCATAGTGATACTGCCTCGGAAACCCAAGGAGGGGTCGCTATGAGTTGGGTCCGACTCAATGACATATAACAACAACAACAACAATACCCTCACCCCTGTCAGGGCTTGGCACGTGAAAGATGGTTCTGAGATGTGAGAATCCTGGCAGAGACTTCTATCCCAAACCAGCAGGGGCAAAAAGACAGCTAAGTTGGTCACATGTAGAATAAAAGCACAGCTGCCATCAAGTTGATTCTGACTCATAGTGGCCCCATGGATGTCACAGTAGAACTTTGCTCCAAAGAGTTTTCAGTGACTGATGTTTTGGAAGTAGACTGCCAGGCTTTTTTTTCCTCCCCCAAAGTGCCTCTGGGTGAATTTGAACCGCCAAACTTTCTGTCAGTAATCACACACTTAGCCGTTTATCTTACCCAGGGACTAGGTGTAGACTAACTCCTGGAAAATGAGAAAGGCCGACTACCAGAGAACCAAGTAAAAATATCCAGTCCATGAGAGCCAGAAGGGTGCAGGGGCAGGACCTGAGCATAAGCAAGTCAGCAACATGTGTGTGTGTTGTGTGTGTGTGTGTGTGTGTGTGTATGTGTGTGAGAGAGAGAGAGAGGAAACGGAATTAGCTGAGCAGTTAGCTACTAGGCGCAATAGTCGCTGGGTATCTGTGGTTTTCTACGTGGGCCTTTAGGGCAGACTCAGAAGCCCCAGAGCCCAACCCGAGGAAAGAGATACATAATGAGAAACAAGCATGACCACAGCTCAGCAGTAACTGATCCTCCACACTCTATTGACACTGGGGGTTGTTTTGGTTGGGTTGCCCTAGAAACAGATCCTGAGACAAGGATTCAAGAACAAGTAGGTTATTTGTGAGACAGTTCCAAAAAATATTGGTAGGAGTGTTAGTAGTGAGACAGGGAAGGGAAAGAAGCCAATAGAGAGGACTTTAGCAAGCCTATTAAGGAGTCCTGGTGGCATCGTGGTTAAAGTGCTTAGCTGCTAACCTAAAGGTTGGTGGTTCTCCATGTGAGAAAGAAGTGGCAGTCTGCTTTTTTTTTTCTCTCCAAGATTTACCTACTTTATTCTCCAAACCAAAAACCAAACTCACTGCCATCGAGTTGGATCTGACTCATAGCAACCCCTCCTTGGGTTTCCAAGGCAGTATCACTACGGAAGATTGCCCAATCTTCCTTCTGAGGAGTGGCTGGGGGTTTGGGTCACTGTGAGTTGGAATTGACTCAACAGTGATTTTTAAAAATTATCATTATTATATTTTATTGTGTTTTCAGTGAAAGTTTACACAGCAAATTAGATTCCCACTTACAATTTCTACACAGTTTGTTCAATGACATTGGTTACGTTTTTCTTCTTCAGTAGTGCTTTGCTTATCCGAGGTCTCTTTCCCTTCCAAATAAAATTAGTGATTGTTTTTTCCATGTCCTTAAAGAATGTTGATGGAATCTGGACCAGAATTGTATTGAATGTATATATTGCTTTGGGTAGCACTGACATTTTCACAATGTTTAGTCTTATCCACAAGTATGGTATGTTCTTCCATTTATGTAGATCTCTTGAAGTAGTGTTTTGTAGTTTTCTTTATTTACATCTTCTGTGTTCCTGGTAACATTTATTCCCAAGTATTTTATCTTTTTGGTAGCTATTGTTAATGGCATTGATTTTTTAATTTCTTTTTCAGAAATCTCTTTGCTGGTATAGAGGAATCCAACTGATTTTTGTATGTTGATCTTGTATCCTGCCACTATGCTAAATCTTTCACTAAGTTCCAGAAGTTTTCTTGCTGAGTCATTTCAGTTTTCTATATATAGGATCATATCATCTGCAAATAGGGATACTTCTTCCTTACCAATTTGGATGCCTTTTATTTCCCTTTCTTGCCATATTGCCCTAGCTAGGTCTTCCAATACAATGTTGACTAGAAGTGGTGATAGAGAGCATCCTTGTCTGGTTCCTGTTTGCAAGGGGAATGGTTTCCGTCTCTCCCTATTGAGAATAATGTTGGCTGTTTGTTTTGCAGAGATGACCTTTATTATGTTGAGGAATTTCCCTTCTATTCCTATTTTTCTGAGCGTTTTTATCAGAAATGGGTGTTGGATTTTATCAAATGCCGTTTCTGCATCTATTGCTACAATTGTGTGATTGACATTGGTCACATTTTTCACAATATGGTAACTTACTCTTTATATCCATTCTGGTGGTTCTGTTTCCTATATCTGGTTTCCCTGGCCCCCTTGCCTTCCCATCTTTGCATCTGAGTAAATGTTGATCGTTTGGTCTCATATAGATGATTTTTTAAGGAGCACAGAACTACTCATGAATGATACTGTTTATATTATGAGCCAATCTGTTATTTAGCTAAAAAATGACCTCATGCAATAGTTTTGGTTCAAGGTTCAAAGAGCAATTCAGGGCAATAGTTTCAGGAATCCTCCAGTCTCAATTGGCCCAGTAAGTCTGGACTTCTTAAGAATTTGAATTCTGTTTCACATTTTGCTCCCATTCTATTCAGATCTATATGTTATGCTCTTGATAGAATGGTGAGTATTGGTAGCTAGGCACCATCTAGTTCTTTTGGTCTCAGGGTAGATCAGATTATGGTTCATATAGATTGTTAGTCCTATGAACTAGTTTCTTTTCTGAATCTTTGATTTCCTTCTTTCTCTTCTATTCCAGACACATACAGACCAATAGTTGTGTTGTCTTAGGCAATAGGCTTTTATTTGTTTATTTATTTATAATCAAGCCTATTAGCACTGTGGACAGCTGAAGCTTATTCCTGCTGGAGAATTCCAGGAGTAAGGTTGCCAGGTAAATTACAGAACTAATAATATTTAGTAAAAGTATGTCCTGAATTATTTGTTGCTTATCTGCATTTGAAACTTAATTGGCCTTGCATTTTTATTTAAGGCCTCTAGGTGGTGGGAATGACTACTAATCTAAAGGTTGGAGGTTTGAACCCATCCAGCCTTGCACCAGTTTTAAAGGCCTGGTAATCTGCTTCTATAAAAAGTACAGCCAAGAAAATTCTACAGAGTAGTTCTAGCTGTAACACATGGGGTTGCCCTGAGTCGGAATTTGCTAAATCTAGCAACCCTACCTGGGAGACAGTGTAAAATGCAGAACAACATGGCAGATTGACCCCTGCAAGAGGCAAGGAGCTAAAGTATTTCTTTACCAGCTCCTGTCAGTCATTGGTTGAGGCAGCTCCTGGGCAGTGTAAATTCCCTAGCACCATTAGAAAAGCATGAGAGAGTCTCCCTGAACATCATGCCCATGGGTCACCACCCCCAGTCTACCCAAGTCTCCTCTTGCCCAAAGACTGAGGAGGCTCTGAGCCACTCTAAGAACTCTGATTGCCTCTGTTTTGCTTCTCAGTTCCTCAGTTTCCAGGAATTAGTCTTTATCTGACCAATAATTTGGTTTTGGAACAGGAACATCAAGTACTGCTCTCTTTAAGGGGTTTATCTTTCACATTTGTGAGCCTTCATCTTTCCTTTGGGAGTCAGATAGAGTTGAATGATCAAGAGCATAGGTTTGGAGCTAGGCAGGTCTGGTTTCCACTTGGACTCCAAATCACATTGTGCCACTTGGGTAAGTGACATGACCTCTCTGAGTCTCATTTTCCTCATCTGTATTATGGAACAACAACAAGAACAATAATATATATACATACATATATATATATATGTGTGTGTGTGTGTGTGTATGTGTGTATATATATATATATATATATATATATATATAAAGATTGATGTGAGGATTAAAGGTATAATGTGCTCGGCAAAACTTGGCACCTAGGAAGCACTTAATGAATGGTAAACCCACTACCATCAAGTTGATTCCAACTCATAGCGACCCTATAGGGCAGAGAACTGCCCCATAGGGTTTCCAAGGCTATAAGTCTTCACAGAAGCAGAATACCTCATCTTTCTCCAGTGGAACAGCTGATGGGTTTGAACTGCTGACCTTTTAGTTAGCAGCCGAGTGCCTTAACCATTGCTCCACCAGAGCTCCAGTGAATAATAGCTTGTGTTTATTATTGGAAATGAAGGCTTCAACAGCCTCTCAGACATGGCTTATATAAGGGTTGGTGTTCGTGGAGTGCTGTTCAGCCAAGGCTTACTCTCTGGGTCAGTCTGACCCACAGGTGGTGCTATACTCTTCCCTGCCAGGTTCCCCCCAGGAGAGGCAGGTGTATCTGAAGGCTCTTCAGAAGCTGAAGGCTGGAAGTTTTCAAGGCCCCTACCAAGCAGATGCAGATCCCCAACCTTCCAGACCAATGACACTGAGTGAGGGCAGTCCTCGAAGCCTAGACACACCTTCCCTTCGTCCCAGTGATGTTGTCCAGGTCTCCTTGAAATTCCAGTTGCTTGACCCACCCAACATGGGCCAGGACATAAATTTTGTGCTGCTGGCCCTCAACATGTCATCCCAGTTCAAGAACCTCAAGGTGAACCTGAGTGCCCAGTCCCTGCTACATGATGGCAGCCCCCTGCCCCCATTCTGGCAGGACACAGCATTCATCACCCTCTCTGCTAAAGAAGGTACGTGCTCTGGGTACGGGCATGGGGACAGACTGTGTACACAGAGTGGGTTATGTAAATGCCAACAGGGTACCAGGAGCAGACCCCTGTGACACCTCCCTTCCTACTGCATGTTATCTCTGATGCAGACTCCTCCTCCCCTGCCTCCCTTCCCTTTTCCTCCTTCCTCTTCCTCTTCCCCTCCCCTTCTCATTCTCCATTCTCTCTTCTTCCTCCACTCTCTCCCCTTTTTTATTACTCTAAAGGAAAATAGCTTAGTTTAGTTAAAAATAAAATAGAATAGTCTAAGTTTTGACGTCATCCAGACCTAGGTTAGAAACTAAGCTCACCCATTTATCAGCAGAATGACCTGGGACAAACCACTGGTTTCTCTTAACCTCACTTTCTCCATCTGAAAAGCTAGTACATGCTTCATGGAGGCTCAGTACATATTGGCTCCGTCCTCTCCATAGAAAAGTCTCCCAGATCCAAGAACCCCAGCTGATCTCCCCAGCCACTCTCACCTTGACCTTGTGTTCGCTCCCTAGCAAAGACGCATCCCTGCAAAATTCCCTATTCCCAGTACCGCCAGTACCTGTCACTGGACAAACTGATCCGCATCAGTGCCCTGGGAGAAGAGATGAATTGTCCTGAGAAGATCTTGGTGGACAAGATTATCACCTTGGTTTATCCTGGCATCATGATTAATGTAGGCAAGAGCCCTGCAAATGGCTGGGGGAGGGGGGAGAGGGGTGGTTCCTGGGATCCAGCTGGGAGAGGGTGGAGCTTTTGAGCCTGCTCAGAGAGAAGCCCTTTCTTTCCTCTGCCTCTTCTAGTGCCCCCATCTACCACCTCACCAGAGAGAGGCACATTTACCTGAAAACACCCAATCCTCTTGCACCACTAGAGGTCATTTAGGCAGATCCTTGAGCAGGGGCTATGGAGAGGTCAGGGAGAAGTTCCTCTCTTGAGCCTTCTCTGACTGTTGGCCTTCCCCAGGGACAACAGTAGAAACCATGCATTCAAATGGCAGAGGCTTGGATGGGGGAAACAGCACTACCTGAAAGGTTAGCTCAGTCATTTGCTGGCTGTACATCCTTAGATAAGCTCCTGGGCCTCTGCTTCTTGAACTGTCAAATGATAGGATTAGCCATTGAGGATACTTCCTGCTCTCACATTGCATGATCCTCTCAATAAGAAGGCATTAAGGGCTCCCTTCCTTCCAGTGCTTTCTCCCATAGGTCAACCAGCCTCCTGGCTCCTGCCAAGTGTGCCAGTGGTGCCCCCTAGTGGCTTGAGTATGACAAACCAGAAGCTGTCATCCATTGTAGGAAGGGTTTTGAAAAGTGCTCAGCTGCTAGCTGAAAGTTTGGAGGTTCAAGTTCACCCAGAGGCACGTCAGAAGAAAGGCCTGGTGATCTACTTTCCAAAAAATCAGCCTTTGAAAACACTGTGGAGCACATTTCTACTCTGACACACATGGGTTCATCATAAGTCAGGGTTAACTCCACAGCAACTGGTTGAAAAATATATCCAGGTTTCCTGAGGCTACTTCCCTCCATCTACAACCCTGAACAACCCATTGGCCTCCATTCATGCACTGATATTAAAGGAAATGAGCTAGTTATGATAGGAGGAAGGGGAGGAATGGGGTAGAATTACAATAAGAAGAAACAGAAATTTCCCAAGAAAAGTCTAGTGGTGCAACATCAGAATCTTCAAACCATACAAGCGAATCCTTTGGGAGCTGTGGAGTATTTCACACTTGGATAAAATTCTTAGAGGAGATAAAATGTGACTGAAACCAAACTCACTGCCATCAAGTCAATTTCAACTCATAGCAACCCCCTTTGGGTTTCCAAGGCAGTAAATCTTTATAGAAGTAGATTGCCCATGAGACAATGGTGTAAAGTATTTTACATAACAACCCAGCACAAACATTCATACATGTATAACCAAAACAAAAGTTTCACATAACAAGAAACAAAAGTTTCACATAACTTTCATTTGTCTCCTAGGATGCATTCTCTTATTTTCATCTATTCCATTTCAGTTTTCAAAGTGATGATCACAGCTCACTAACTTGATTTAGCTCATAGTTGGAAAATATAGGCCAAGGAAGTCCAGCTTTCTGGAAACAGACCTAGGGACCAGTGCTACCAATGTTAAGTGAATTGGTGAATGAGGACTAATTCCTTTCTCCTTCCTCTCATTTGCATCTCTGTTTAGGTTCTGGGAGCTGCCATTGTAAACCAATCACTTTCCATACAGGTGATATTTACAAACCCCCTCTTAGAGCAAGTAGAGGACTGTGTGCTGACTGTGGAAGGCAGTGGTCTCTTCAAGAAGCAGCAGAGAGTCATGTAAGTTCTGGGGGTCTTCAGGTTTCTCTCCCATTTTATCCAGGGATTAGCAGGGTTTTTTTCCTGTCTTTTTTTTTTTTTTTCCTGGACAGATCAGGGTCTGAGAACACCAGGGAAGGGAGAGAAACCAGGGAACTGAATGGAAAAGGGTTTGGGGGCTATCCTAACACTTATATTTGTCTGACATTCTCCATTATCTGCTGCAGCATTGGAATCCTCAAACCCCAACATCAGGCCAGCATCACTCTGGAGACTGTCCCATTCAAGAGTGGTCAAAGGCAGATCCAAGCTAATCTAAGGAGCAACAAGTTTAAGGATATTAAGGGTTACAAAAACGTATATGTAGACTTTGGGTTATAAATTCTGGGGCAATAGCTGGATGCATCAACCTCAAGCTTCAGAGAAAGGAGCAAGTTCAAATGTAAGCTATTCCATTCACTACAACAGAGGCTTCACAAGGCTCCAAAGGGAGCAAAAGATGGGATGCCAGGATGGATAGCTCCCTGAGCTGTTTGAACATTTCCCCTCAGGAGTCTGTTTGGGGCCCAGCTATTCTATGGTGTCCCGTCCAGAAGTATGAGATGGCACAGAGGTCAGAAGACACTGGTTGGACTTGCCCGTGACTTACTGCCCTTAGAAGTAAAGGAAAGATGAAGACTCACTGAGCAGTTCACTATCATTTTGTTTTAAGGAATGGCTAATTCCTTAGTACCAATAAACTTCAGTCCTTGCTCTGATCTCCTTTGCCACCATGTAATTATCATTTTCATTTCAGCAACTCCCAATTGTTCCCTGGATGCTGAGAGTGTCCTATTATTTAATATGCCTGAGCACATTCTCTCAAGAAATAGTTAGCACCTAGTGTATGCCTGGATGGTGAGAATGAGTAATACATGCTCAGCTGCTAATCAAAAGGTTGATGATTCAAGTCCACTCAGAGGTACCTCAGAAGACAGGTCTGGCAAACTGCTTCCTAAAAATCAGCCATTGAAAACCATATAGGGCACAGTTCTACTTTCTTATGTATGGGGTTGCCATGAATCAGAGTCAACTTGATAGTAATGAGTTTTGCTTTGTTTTTGTTAGTATATGCTTAGTATGTGCTCCTGAGTGGAGGGGATAAAGCACTGAACAGAGCAAAGATCCTGCCCTCTAGGAGCTTACATTCTAGTGGCAGGGGAGGCAAGCAATAAACAAACGAATAAGACAGTTACAGATGAAGTAGTCACAATCCAGTTAGAAAAACATCTGTAAGTGCTGACTTGACGGCACATAACAACAACAACAACAAGTGCTTCCACATACTACCTACCATCTTTGCATATTGGGAAAAAGCCTGGGTGATCTCTCACACTGGCCTTCCTTTGAATCCCTTCACATATCATATCCAAAAAGCCTATCAGTCTTAATAGTTCCAACCTCTTTGCTCAAAGTCCACCAGGATATTGTGGTCCTTGATAGACCTGGGATGACTGAGATAAAACCAGTTAAATAAAGCAATGAGATAGGATTTTGGTGGAGAATGAGGTACTCTCATACTTTTCTATTGGGTGTAGCTTGTGTTTATGGTAATCCAAACTCTACCCTTTCCAGGTCCTACTGAACACAAAACCAAAAAAAACAAAACTCACTGCCGTTGAGTCAGACCTGACTCATAGCGACCCCTCCTTGGGTTTCTGAGGAGATATCACTGCAGAAATAGATTGCCCAATCTTCCTTCCAAGGAGTGGCTGGTGGGTTTGAACCACCAGCTTTCTGGTTAGCAGTCAAATGCCTTAGGCACTACACCACCAGAACTCCCTACTGAACACAAAGCAACTGCAATCATTATCTCCTCTTGGGATACCTATGCTTCCTCAAGATCTGTGTGGGGAAGGCATGATGCCTTGCCCTCCAAGTGTTGGCTAGGTCATTGAGGTGGCTGTTTAGGGCATACATTAAATGCACACACACTAATTAAATAAAGAAGTTAAATATTTCCATTATATATAAACAAAAGGGCAAATGCAGTTAATCAGAGGGAGAGAAAAGGGCGTGGTGGGAATTACATAATAGGTTCATAGTCCTGTTAGAGAGTGCCAGAATCTGACAGTAGGGAGCTGGAAGCAACCTATGATTATTTAATCCTATAATTATTGCCTGTCAATCATGAAAAGTGGTTTAAGGAAAACACTGTGGAGATGAATATCTTACAGAGATAATGACTTTTGAAGTACTTGAAAAAGTGTAGACACCATACCCTCCAACTCTTTCACGAACCCTGGTTTTATTTAACACCACATTCATTAACCTCTCACTCAACAAATATTTAACACAAAAAGGACCAGTGCCTGCCCTCAAGGAGCTCAAGTCTAGGTGTGTGGAAACCAAAAACTATATAGGAGGTTATAACTTAGAACCACCATTAGGGTAAGTCCAAGGTGTTGTGGGAACACAAGGAGGGGCAACTAACCTAGGCTTGGTGCTCTGGATCAAGGAAAGCTTCCTGGAGACAGTGACATTTAGGCTGAAAGCTAAAATACTAGGAGTTAGCCAAAGAAAGAATCAGGATTGGAAGGGTGAGCTTCGGCGAAGGAATGGGGAATTACCAAGTCATAAGATGGCTAGAGATGAAACTGAGTGGGCGCCAGTGCCAAGAAAAAAATGAGGCGAGAGCCAGGTGGTAAGCCCCAGGTGGTGGTGTAAGGAGTTTGGATCACATCCATCTTTAGGCAGAATCTTCAGGTGATTTGAGATATACGTAAAGGACTATGGCACATGGTCTGCCATTTAAAAAAAAAAAAATTGCCATAGAGTCTACTATGACTCATAGTGACCCTATAGGACAGCGTAGAACTGTCCCATAGGGTTTCCAAGGCTATAAATATTTATAGAAGCAGACTGCCACATCTTTATCCTGCAGAACAGCTGGTGGATTCAAACTGCCAATCTTTTGGTTAGCAGCTGAGCACTTAAACACTGCACCATCAGGGTACCTTGATTTGCCATGTTGTTGTTAGGTGCCATCAAATAGTTTCTGACTCGTAGTGACCCTATATGTAACAGAAGGAAACACTGTCTGGTCCTATACCATCTTCACAATCATTTCCATACTTGAGCCCATAGTCACAGCCACTGTGTTAATCCGTTTTATTGAGGATCTTCCACTTTTTCAAGCATTATATCCTTCTCCAGGAATTGGTCCCTTCTGACAATCTGGTCAAAGTACAAAGAGACAAAGTCTGGCCATTCTCACTTCTAAGGAGCATTCTGGCTGTACTTCCTCCCAGACAGATTTGTTCATTCTTGTAGCAGTCCACTGTACATTCAATATTCTTTGCCAACACCACAACTCAAATGCATCAATTCTTCTGTGGTCTTCTTTATTCATTGTCTAGCTCTCACATGCACATGAGGCTAATGAAAATACCATGGCTTGGGTCAGGCACACTTTGCCATAACCAAAACCAAACCAAACTCACCCCCGTGGAGTCGCATCCGATTCATAGCGACTCCTCCTTGGGTTTCCGAGGGGGTATCACTATGGAAATAGATTGCCCAACCTTCTTTCCGAGGAGTGGCTGGTGGGTTTGAACCACCAGCCTTCTGGTTATTCCCATTAGCCATTTCTTTGGGTTTGGGTCTTTTTTTTTTTTTTTTTTACAATGCACAGGTTGTCTTTCATCCCTTTATTTATATGTTGAGTGTTCTAGACTTCTGAGATAGGGTAATAAATAAGGCAAACAGCCAAACTCATCCCTAACCCGCTAACACCAGCCCTAATGGAATTCAGTATGATTTTTCTTCATACAACACTTCAGCTCCAGGCACAAAACGTCTTCCCCCGCACACACACCCCAATCGATTCAACATTTAGATTTATTGAGGTTTGGCAAATTGATACTTTAGTTCTTGCCCCATCCCATACCTTCAAGGAAGACTCCGGTGAAAAAATGGTGTGGAAGTGCTGGACCTTGCTCATACAGCCAATAGAATAGAGGTTCTGAGGCTCAAATTAGAGAAAGGAAAGGCAGGCTTCCTGGCCGAGAAGCTCCAACAAGGGAAGGGACCATCCCTCTGTTAGGGGGTTTCACTCTGAAGAAGTCCCTCGTTCTTGGTTCTGGGCTCACCTCGCCTAGTTTCGAAGTCCTGAGCAATCCGCCCACACTGAGCTGTCTACCAGCAGCTGCAACAGGAACACCAGCTGACCTACCGCCCTCTTTTGACAGCCAGCAGATTCGCCACAATAGATTCGCCCACAACTTTTCCTCTTTTCCCGGCACCCTGTGGAAAACCCGTTGGTCTAAGTTCCCCTTGTTCCCTAATGGCTCAAATTAATCATTTCAAAAATATAGAAAGACGTTTTTATAAAAGTATTGAGTATTCCAAAGACAGCGCAAAAACCGTTGTTGTGACGAAAGTGCAGAAGAAAAGCATGCTCTCCGCTCGTGTTGTCCCACTGCGGAAGAGCCACAGAGAGTCTTGTGAAGACTTTTTGAAGGTAGCAATTATGAATCTCTTATGATGTATAGCAAAGATTGTGAGGATAGTGCAGGACCAGGCAGTGTTTTGTTCTGTTATGCATAGGGTCGCTATGAGTCGGAGCCCTTTCAGCAGCACCTAACAACAACCATAATGTTAGCATCATCACTTAGCAGTTTACATAGTGCTTCCGAACACTTCAATCTCACAACACCTGTGACATTGGTATTATTATTATACTACGGATGAGAAAACTGAGAGTCAGAGAAAGTTATGTGACTTAAGGTCTGAAAGCCTGAAAATTGCAGAGTGAGACTCAACTCCAAGTCTAGTTCCAAATCCAGTGTCTTTTCCATTCACCATGACTTTCTTGCTGTAAATATTGGCATAATTAATAGGATCATCTGTCATTTACCCATCACCTGCACCTGCCAATCACATGACCTAGATCATATTAGTTCATCCTCATAACAGACTTGCAAGGTAGGTATTATAAATCTCGTTTTATAGAGGAAAAACCTGAAGCACAAAAGTATGATGAACATGTGTTGATTTGTTTTTATTTTTTGGCTTTCTAGAATTCACCTCCCTTCCTTTGGTAACAGCACCCCAACTTCATCTTTTTTCCCCCAAGTTCTTTTTAAGGAATCCCTTTTGTGCTTGGAGTTCTTAGTACTGCTTGAATTGGTGGCTTCAGTTTTGAGACATTCTTGACATTATCTCTTCAAGTATTTCTTCTGTCCCTGCTCTCTCTTCTCCTTCTGGGATGCTAATTTTCCACAGAATTTTCTTTTTAAGTGTTTTATGCTTTGATCTGTATTTTCCATTATTTTTCCCTCTTTGCCCTATTTTAGGTTTTTCCTATTCATCTGTCTCTTGGTTCACTAATTCTCTCTTCTGCTGGGTTGAATCTGTTGTTAAACTCATCTATTGTATTTTTGTTACTTTTTTCAATAATATTTCTATTTAATCCTTTTTTATGTAGATTTCAATAATCTGAAATTTTACAAGTCATCATCTCTTTT